AACTGCACCCAGTTTGGACTCCGGCGGGAACCCCTGATCCAACATGGTCTACTAACCAACCAACCATGGTCGAACTGTCATAACCGCAGATGGGATGCTGCTGCCCCCATAGCATCGTACTAGTCTCTGCCTGGCTCTGAGGAAGCGGTTCAAATTTTGTGTGAATACTCATTCGTTTGGCAGACGAGGTACCAGTGGGATGATTGTGTCTTCAGAGCCAATCACAAAACTAGTCGCAGACTAACCGCGAGGTCGCGAAAACAGCAGATCAAAACTAACCGCCTAAAGGTCAAAATATTCCGCATCTCGCCAAAACTGATTAAGTTCTTAAGCCGGCAAAATTTCGCTTGACGGACAGAAACCACCAGCACTCCTTCATACTCTCCGCAACAGAACTCTGGGCTGAAATGGGGCACTATTGACATTTTCGTTGGCCCCATACCCGGGGAGATGACTTTGGTTAGTTTTCGCCCATCTCCGCGTCAGCCACGGAGGCTAGAACTACTCATTTGGTGATTAACACATTCAGCTGCTAGGGGTTGTTTTGGCTTACGACTGCGAACAATTTAGGTTTATGTGAACATTTCTAATGCTCACAGGAATGAATTTTTGTCTTCATTCACGTTTCGGGAGAGCTGGGTTGGTTCTGCTTTGTCAAAGCGTAAACTACCATTATTGATTAGCAATTTGAAGGCGTGGCTGTAATCGTCGGCCGTGGTATGATCGATTTTTTTTTCGTTCACTGCCTTGCCCCTCATATGGATGTGTACAGTCGGTGTTGCGCTTCGTCTCTACCGTGGAAGCTGCTGGTAATCCTGCTTCCTCTTCCGGTAGGTCCGTCGGGGAGCCGTCTTCAGTCGTATGATCTTGTCCTGAGGTTTACTTAATGGCACGTAATGGCACAAAATAGCACGTAATATCGACAGGGTTTGCACCTAAGTACCATGCCTCAGGCGTCAGTCTTTCGACTTTAGAGGTGTCTCGGCCTACGATGGCTGCTCCCTCAATGCCGAAGTTATGGGCAGTCTCTATGGTGTGTATTGTAAGCTGCGAGTTTAGGTCTAGTCTATGAGGCGCCAGTTTGTGTTCGTGTAAGCGGGTCTCCAACTTTTGCCTTGTTTCTCCAATGTGTTTACAGTCACCATCGTTGCAACACATCTTGCAGATAACTGCGGATATTTTAGTAGAGGTGGGGGGCAGTCTGCCTCTGTCTGTAGGCGCTTGCTTTTTTGATAATGTTCTCGGATTCTTATCTCGGCGCTCTTAAATTTGCAAACTTGAACTTGGGTTTATATCCAAACTGTAGGCCTATGTGGAGTCCGTTCCCTCCCGGTTCAGCAGTCGACAGTCTTCCCTGGAACCTACTTCCTACACCGGCAGCAGTTACTACTCATCAGATGTGCGGGAGTTGCGAAGGCAATTGCGACAATTGGAGGACAAGTACAAGGAAGTCATGGTTGTCAACGCCCAGCTTGACGGCGACAAGCAGCTCCTGAGGTAAGGACCCATTAGCCGACATGGTAGTTTAGGCGGACTCAATCCGTCCGTTTATCGCGTCAAACTCTAACTTTAAAACGAGCGTATACAGCAGGATTTATTTAAGCATCAGTACAAACAATTTTCGACACTCATTTCCAATTGCTATCCGTCTTTGCATGAGATAGACAACGAATGGAGTACACTAAATTGACGTCGAGTTTCTTCTGTGAGGAATGTTTCATCATCAGTAACCGTGCCTTCCTTTAATGCGGCATTTTGCGCAAACTATGTGCCCTCCTAGACCAATAAAAGGCAATGTTGAGGCCAGCCTGCTGCATCCGACTAGTTTTTTTTCATTTCGGCTTTATTATCCCTGGTTTGAGTAGTTATCTCGAGTTCTAGGGCAAATTCGTTCAAATGGGAGTACAGTAGTCGCCGGTTATTAAGCCCACCTCGGGCCCAGACCGAATTGGG